CAGAGATCTGCAAAAGACAGTAACTTTATGGGCTGTGATCACCACAGCAGTGTAGCAGGAACAGCCAGCTGGTAGTCAGAGCTACAGAGCTAACAGCGCTTACAGAATCTCTGTACCCGCTGCAGCTTTTACAGTCACTAGAAGCACGTTCAAGCCGATTGTAAAAGTTTTTGTGTGCTACCTGTTTGTAGCTAAGCTCACTGCTCATAGAGGCTAACTGTCGTAGATTGAAACAGTGACTGTACTCGCTCATCTGTCTGAAGTTAACAGAAACCAACAGAAACCAACGGCTGCCACAAAGATAGGAATTCAATTTGAAAAATATTAAAAACAGTGTGTCCTTGTTGAGGGCGTCATTACTGTGTTTTGCAGTCAATGGAATAAATATGCACAACTGTATTATTTGAGAATAAAAGTTTATGTTGACCAAAGAAAAGCCCTCCAGAAGGTCCATTGAGCAGCAGTTCTGGAGCTTTTATTAGCAGATGGACCGTAGCTGTTTAAATACATTAACGTGGGTTTAACTAGTATGGAGTAGAAGTTTAAGGACATATGAGCTGAAATAGAAAAATCTGTCAGAAGATATGAACAATTCAAAAACAATTCAGAAATTTGGGAATTTTAAATATCCACAGGAACACTGCTGAAGATGGTACAATCCAGAACAAAATGGATGTTACACTCACCCAGCACATTATAACAATAAATGTATTTTTCTTTTTTGTTCAGAGTAAAGAAACCAATCCACCTGAGCTATGACATCGACGCCATCGACCCCTCCATTACCCCGGCTACCGGCACACCTGTAGTCGGAGGGCTCACCTACAGAGAGGGAGTCTACATCACTGAACACCTGTGTCAGACAGGTACGATTCAGAAACAAACACACAGACTGATTACAATATTCTCTCTGGTCTGTACGGTAAATATCAGCTCAGCTTAAAGACTGGAGAACAGCTAGCCTGGCTCTGTCCCACGGTAACAAATCAACCTTCAGATTCAAATCAAATCAAATCAAAAATCTTGGTTTGGGTTCAAATATGTACGGTACAAAAATCCAAAGTGCCGGGAGTCAGTACTCATCTAACTATCTGTCTTCTCCACATTTAGATTTTTAACCTGTTTTCCAAGTTTCAACTCTTTTTCTGAATCAGAACAAAGATGGCAGCCTGATGATCATTCTGGATAAACCTTAACAACAAACCTTCTGAGTTTAATTATTATTATTATTATTATTATTATTATTACAGAGAAAACTAAACATTAGCATGCTGGTGTTAGCATGTAGCTCAGTGCACATCTTACAGCCTCACAGGAACGCTGTCACGGTGTAAACAATAAGTTCTTTGTGTTAAGGTCAATAATGAACCAAACACACTGCTTTGTGAGTTTGACCCCTGTTTGTCCTGCAGGTCTTCTGTCGGGGGTGGACTTGGTGGAGGTGAATCCTCTGAGGGGTCAGACTGAAGCGGAGGCCCAGTCCACCGTCAGCACGGCGGTGGACCTGCTGCTCGGCTGTTTCGGGCGCCTCCGTGAGGGAAACCATCCTCCAGCTTACGCGCTGCCCGAGCCTTGACGGGAACCACCCCGGCCTCTCCGACTGCACGGATGAGCACCTGAACGTCTCCGATCACCAACAGGAGATTTTAACCTTCAGTACCATAATACTTGTAACGGTGTCAGTGTAACTCTTGTTCACCAAACCGTCCAATCTGTGAGGCTTTAAACCAAAGATCTTCCAATTTTAATCACAAAAAGCACAAATTATGTCTTTTATTGATTCATCTACTGTATCAGTTGTGTTTATGATCAATTATTTAACCTTTGACGTGTCAGAAAAGACAAAAAAATTAAAATGTTCTGTTGATAGAGTCGTAAATGAATGAATGAATGAATGAATGAAGTGTTTGAGCTTTGATAAAAACAATGATTTGTATTCTTAAAATGTCATCAAATAAATTTTAAACCAAATAAATATTTTAAAAAAGCTTCATATTTCATTGACACATTTTCTGCTCAGTGGTGTCTTTTTTTGTTATTTTTGTATTTTATGCAACTGGAATACTAATTTGGTCACATATGAATAAATGTATGAATTAACATCCCGTAACTGATGATTTATTGTAATCACAGTGGTTAGTGGTGATACATCCTGCATTATTTCAGACAATTAATTATTGTTAGTCATGCATTAGTTGAGCTGCAACAGAAGACACTTTCTCAGTTACAAGTATTATAATGAATCAGACACTGATGTTGCAGTGCTGGATTGTACCTCTGTATGTAGAGATTATTTATTATTATTATTATTTTATTCTACCAAAAATACGTTGTGCTAGTCAGGTGGGACTTGACAGAAAAAACATTTCAAAGAGGTACATTATTGAAAAATTTACATTTAAGAGAAATATTACACACCTGCTGCAGTATTCCATCGACCACTAGAGGTGCACGTACCCCAATTTGAGGAACACTGCCCTAAATGTAAACAACAAAGTTACCTGTGCCCACGAGAAGGTTTCTCATGCTCAGCCAAAGGTCTACCAGCTTCAGCTTCCAGAGACTTGCACCAAACCTCAGTACTGATGGTACACTTTAATTCAGAGGCTGTCATCAAATATTGAGATAAATGAGTAATGTGTGTATTTAGTTTCACTTATTATAACAAAGGAAAACAATAGTTTCAGCTGAATGTTAATTTCATACACACTGTTTGTCTTCCACTCAAACACCTGGACTAGTTCCTGCTCCTCTTCAAACAGAACTGTAACACTAATGATGATGAGCCTGTGAACACCCACACAGTGTTGAATTCAATTCAATTCAATTCAATTCAATTCAATTCAATTCAATTTTATTTGTATAGCACCAATTCATAACAGAAGTTATCTCAGGACACTTTTCAAATAGAGCAGGTCCTAACTCTATATAACATTAATTACAGAGACCCAACAGTACCACCATGAGCAAGACCTTGGGGACAAGGGCAAGGAAACACTGCCTGTTAAAAGGCAGAAACCTAGGACAGATCCTTCGGCTCTAGGTGGGTGAGAGAGAGAGAAAGACAGGGAGAGAGAGAGAGAGAGAGAGACAAAGGTGCACAGTAGCAACAACTACACTAACAGTGACTGATGATGATGATGATGATGATGAAGATGACAACAGCCACATGGAGACTTTATATGTTTTTGTTGGATAAAACACACATTAATACATAAAGTTTTTTTTATAATCACTCAATTATTTACAGATTTACAAACTATATAAAAAACAGCAATAACAAAAAAATATTAAAATATATTAACATTATAATTTAATTTAATATGAACAATTAAAAAGAAATCCGTAGAGAGTTGAGAGAGAGAGAGAGAGAGAGAGAGAGAGAGAGAGAGAGAGAGAGAGAGAGAGACAGGTGCACAGCAACAACAGTAGCAACAACTACACTAATAGTAGTGACTGATGATGAACATGAAGGTGTCACATCAGGTCAAATATCTCAATCTACCAATAAGAATGATAAAGGTGTCATTTGTCCCGAACTATGGACAGGACATGACGCCTGACTGTTGATTTCAGGTCCATCATGATCTTCCATAATGAGAGAATCCAGACAGAAAGACACAGCAGACAAAGTGAAGACATCAGATCACATCAGCTTTTTGCTCAGCTTCTTATTTATTGTCAGTGTCCAGCAGATAATGATTTACATTAGGGTTTAAACCTCCACCAAACAGTTTGCTCAAACTAGTTAGTTTGACTTTAAACCTGAGTGTGTGTTTAGTTGCAGCCAGCAGACTGAAGGTAACATCTTAACCAGCAGGGAATCATTTCTCTACACCAACAGCTGTTTGACTGAACACTTTACACCCAGCAGCCGCTCACACACATTAATATTTTTTCTTAGTTCATGAAAAGTTGAGTTTTAGAGATACGTGGTTCTCAGAGGACAGTGATGCTACAAACATCTGATGATATTATCCTAGAATATGATGAAGTATTTCCACAGTGTGGTATTAGTACTTTTACTGAGAGCATTATGATGTCAGGCTGATTACGTCCAAGCTCTTTGACTTTGAACTCCTCTTGTAATGCTCTCAAAAGGCCCTATTTTTAATAACTTTATTATAATAACTATATTTTCTGTTGCAAAATGCTGCTCCAGCTCTATCTTCAACAACTCATTCAGGCACATCCGATGTACAACAAGCCACTTGCTCTCTGCTGCCACCCAGTGTTAAAGATTTGAGTCTATCTGACAAAAATAGTTACAGAGGACCGGATAGATACAGGGCAGAGGTCAGTGCAGTAGATACTATTGTCAGTTGGTGGTGTGTACATCAGCAGCATTCAGATAAAAGCAGTAGCATATGCCCCAAAAAGCTCCCATCTCTCGTATTAAGAAGAGTGAACTGCGCATGTAAAACTTTGATGGGTTTTTTCAGACTGGAAATATGTTAACTTTAGACAATGTACAACATTTCTAATCTACATTTTATTGCAGATTATACATTTTTACTCACTAACTATATATGTACCAAGCTCTTTCAATAAATATATATTTCAGAATCCAAGTAATTATGTCTTAATTAAGTCTAGGATGTGGAAAGTGCTGGGGAAGTGCCCTCTCGCCCTCTATTGGCCAGTCGCCACTGTATCTAAAGATGATGTGAGATTATGTACGAGAGAGAGAAAAGAGAAGAATCATCAGTTGATATTCTGCCTTTATGCTGGTCCTGAATATTTAATGCACAGGACGGATCTTCATGCTGATGGATTTCAGGGAGTAGTCATAACCCTTCCATGCAGACCAGTCCACTCCAATAGCATAGAGAGTCTTGTCAGCCCCCCAACGATAAACCCCGTTGGGGTTGGCACTGTGACAACTACTGTACCAGAAGGCACCCAGGAATTTTTGGCGCAGTTGTCCGGCCAAGTGTCCTGGTCTTTGTCGAAGGTGGAGAACTTATGTCCACTGTGTCCACTCAGGGAGTCTCCTACAGAAACACAAGAATCACAGTGTTAAAAATTTGAGCTGAACTTTCCACAACCTGCAGTCTTCTATCAGATGGACTGATGGTAACAGTCATGATCTGGACAACTGAAGTCACCATTACCAGCAGCTTGATCCACTTGTGTTTGGTCTGAATGAACCTGATGAAGAAACTTCACATTTTACAGACTTGCTAAACAACTGACATGTGGCAGCCGACTTGCCCCCCCGTTCAGTTAATCCACAGACAAATAAAAGCTGTCCAGTCTCCCCCTAGTGACGAACCGTGTCACATCCAAACATGGCACTGGGTCTGCATCAGAGAGCTCCAGAAGGAAAACCAACCGAAACTCAGCGAGTCCTAACCTCAACAGGTCTGCTTAGAACCAACATAGCAGTCCAGTGGCCATCCCACCTGGATCCCACTATAGGAAGATGCTTCCCCCACCATGAACCAGGAATCAACAGAGTGCCTCATCATCTGGTGGGTCCTCTTCCTCATCACCTACGGTGCCATAGAAGGTCAACTACATCCCTGGGAAGGACTCCTCCCCTCGAGGGACTACGCAGGTGTAACCCACATAACAGAGTGAGTTCCAGAATGAGAGAGAGACTATTGAGAATTTATTTTCACTCAGAGTAATGACTATCACCTAAATAAGAGGATCTTTGATATCTGAGAAGAGATTGACAAGCCAGTGTTGACCAATCAGTGACTTGGATGCAGAGAGTTCCCGCCACTTGCTCCTGTATTCCTCCGTTACTTCTGGTCTGTATGGAGAGAGGAGCGAGAGTGAGCAGCGGGGATTAAGAACAGACGAAAAACTTAAGAAACCCGAAAACATACGACTTACACTTCGTTTACAGAAGTCTGCTTTGAGTTCGGTGAAAAAACTAGTGTTAAAACGGGCATTAGCACAGTCGCTAGCTGCAGCGCTAGTAGCTCGAGCTGATAGCCATTAGCTTTGACTGTGACTCCTTTGCGCACTTTGTCCGTACTTTGTCCGTACTTTGTCTGTACTTTGTCCGTACTTTGTCCGTACTTTGTCTGTACTTTGTCCGTACTTTGTCCGCACTTTGTCCGTACCTTGTCCGCACCTTGTCCGCGCTTTGTTCCGGACCTTGTCCGCACTTTGTCCGTGCCTTGTCCGCACCTTGTCCGCGCTTTGTCCGGACCTTGTCCGCACTTTGTCCGTGCCTTGTCCGTACTTTGTCCGTACTTTGTCCGCACTTTGTCCGCACCTTGTCCGTACCTTGTCCGCACCTTGTCCGCACCTTGTCCGTACTTTGTCCGCACTTCTTGTCCGCACCTTGTCCGTTACTTTTGTCCGTATTTATTGTCCGCACCTTTGTCCTGTTATTTTAGTCCGTACATATTGTCCGTACCTTGTCCGTACCTTGTCCAAAGTACTTTGAATCCGTACCTATGAATCCGTACTTTGTCCGTGCTTTGTCCGTACCTTGTCCGTACTTTGTCCGTGCTTTGTCCGTACCTTGTCCGTACTTTGTCCGTACTTTGTCCGTACCTTGTCCGTACTTTGTCCGTACAGCTCCGAGGAGTAGGTAAATTACCCAACTAAAAGACTTCACCTTTAGTTAACCTCACCCTCTCACCCTCTCAATGGTTCCAAACACCTATAATGGTGTGTTGAAGGTAAGGGCAACATTCACTTGGGAACATCCAAAATGACTCTATATTCATCAGAAGAACTGATAGTAGAGTCCAAAAGAATTAACGACTACAACCTCTTTGTTACAATGATCAATCACTGCTCTGTACTACTACCAAAGTTAATTAAAGTTAATACTGGATTTATGGAATGAATCCGTACGAGTATTTACCAACAGGGATGGTGTGGAGTTTGTGGTCTAGGTCATGTGAGACCAGCCAGTATTAGTGCTCTCTTTCCAGATTATGGAGTCATGGCAACTTTAGATCAAATAAGAGACTTTTCACATGCAGTTGAAGATCTTGCAAACTCTACTGCAAAAGAAATGTCCATGCTCTCACAAGAAATGATTGCTATAAGAATGATGCCCTTACACAACCAGGCTGCACTGGATTATTTACTGGCCTCTCAAAGAGAAACGTGTGCTGTCATTTTAACTGAATGTTGCACATTTATACCCGAACCCATTTCTACCATACAGGAAAATACTAACCAATTGGAAAATATTGCCAAAACATTACATAACCCTGTTCCCACCAGTTTGTTCCACTAGGTCAAAGGAGATTAAGGACATTAGGTTATTTAGTTTTTGAATTAGTTTTGCTTGTTGCTACAGCAACATGTAGTTCACTAGTGTAAGTGAGGGATAATGTCCCACGAGGTGTCCATTATAAGAAATTAACAGACAACGTGGAGGCCAGAACCATCCAACACGAAGTATGGAAACAGGGCAGGCAGAGGAGGAACAGAGGCGCCATGTTTGATGCTCTCAAAGAGCGAAAACACCCCTGAATTAATGAAATAATTTACACAGACACAGAGTCAACTTACTGACCCGCCCCTCCATTGGTGAATCCAGATACATGCAGTCGATATCCGTCACATTCTGCATCGATGGAGAACAAAGACCAACGAGCAAACACCTTTTTCCCCTCAAAGTCCTCCATGTCGACCAGCAGCTCAATCTTTCGGTTGTGTGTCAGGTAGTAGATGTTGTCAAGACCTGCACACACACACACACACACACACACATACAGTACATATACAAACCAGACAGCTTTGTACAGTCGTGTAGACATGAAGTTCAGGAACAGTTCACAACTGTTAATTTGGTTCCATTTCTCACCGAGCCAGTACTCTCCAGCAGCGCTACCGAAGCCGAACTTGTATTGATCCCAGGGTCTGTAGAAGTTCACTGAGCCGTCCATCCTCCTCTGGAACACCTGGAGGACGAACACACAAGATATCTGACTGTTGTGGTTTTGGTTAGTGGTCGATCGATCTCGGTTTTTCACTGGCCAGTACCGATATTTAGAGAGTAAGGCTGCTGATGGTTGATTATTCCAAAATACCAGATATTCGGCCCTATCACAAATTTCGGGTTTAGTTGAGTTATTAGCCGCCACCCTTGGGCGACTTGCATACATTGAACTCCTCCAAAGAAATTGATCTGATTTGGTCAGTGTAATTAAAAGACCATGATTAAAACTTTTGCTTTTTGAGGGAGTTTGCGTGAACGGGCGTGTCCGTAGATTAAGTAGTTCCAATCTGCACCAGAATCCGTCCTGAACACATCTGTGTGACAATATTCATTTATGAAGAATACCTTTTTTACCTTTATGTATTCCTCCTAGCAAACTGACCAGATCCAGATGATATTTGGACAGAAAACCCTGAAACTGTTGATGATAATATATTATGACTCATGAATTTTATATCCTTTATATGTTATTTTTTTTTACCACAGATTCCATTTTTGGGGGGCTGCTCATGAAAACTCAACACTCATGAAACTTGGCACACATGGCCAAATTTTACATTTCATCTAGGTCTTGCATGTTGATGTGATGAGCCTGCAAGACTATCTGTTGGTTTTGTCCCTTGGTTTAAATAAATCATTGAACTGATCCTGTCTGCATTTGGGTCCAATCCCTCGTGGTCCCCTGCATGAATTGTGACACTGAGCTCGTGTTTTACTGGTATTTGATTTATTCTGACAGGGAGGGCTCATATTGACGTCAGTTAAAATACTCACCGTCCACCGTCCTCCTTCTGAATCCATGTCACAGTACACCTACACACAAACACATTCATTAGTAAATGTTTAAACTTGTATAAGAGCACAGGCAGTGCTATTAAGAGATCCCCAAAATGATCACTGAAAGAAAGAAGACACTTCACCAGCTACCTCAGCTATAATGCTGTCAGTATCACACTGACCTGAGTTCAGCAGCACATCTGCCATTCAGTACCTTCACATTGATATTCAACATTAGGCTGAAACTGTCCTGAGATCAGTGGGGAAGCTTCTCTGTCACACGTCACTGCTGAGCTCACCGTTTCCGTTATTCTTTGCAGTGTAAAATGAGTAAACTCAATTATTTTGTTAATTTAGGAAATTATGGATGGATTTGTTTTCCATGTTGGATAATTTTTTCAAAGAACAAACTGTCAGATTGTGCTGCTTTGAAAACATCAGTGGCGAGTTTAAATATATTTTCGATAAGGAAGTTGATTTGGAAACTGTACTGACTTTGTTGCGTTATGCGTGTCCTCGGCTGTTTCAGGTTGTCTCTCTTTCATGTTGAATATTTATCAGATGCTGTGTTCTGACTCTAAGTTGTTGTGGTCTGCAGACTAACGTGCTGTTTTATGACAACTCAATAAAATGTGCAATGGTTTTTCGGTGGTCTGTGTGTCAAGTTTGCCTTGGCCCACCCTGATTAATGGTCAGAGTCTACTGTATCTAATGTCATGGGCTCACACTTACATATCACGTATGGTGTCCGGTCTGCTACATACTTGGTGTGTTGGAAAAAGCTATAATTATTATCATTATCAAATTTGGTCTCAATTATGTCAGTGTGTTGGTAAGATATAAATACGGTGTTGAGATCCTCTGTCTACCTCTGCCACAGTTTTATTCATATGAGAAAATGTACGGGAGAGAAGCCCACCTGACCAGCTGTGCACCCTGTTGATCATAATGTTCTGCAGCCCCAGACCAACAGACTGCTCTGCACTGTGTGTTCCGACCCCTTTCTATCAGAACCAGCATTACCTGTTTCAGCAGCCCTGTTCACTGTCTGCCTGACCTACCCCCCCCCCACTGACAGGAGCCCTGAAGATGCCTGTGTGTTTACTTTCTGAATTATTGGTTTGGGACCTATTATTTGATATTGATCTAGGAAAAAAAAACATTGCTGACACCATAAAACCCTTTGAATGAGCTCCTTAATGTCATATGACAAGGATACCTAACAGGACCCTGGCAGCAGTGTACCTGGACTGCAGACCTCTCTCCAGCGGGATAGATGGTGTACACTCCACTGGGTTGGCTCTTGTCTTGCAGATGGACGTCACTGCAGTCCACTGGTTGGACAAGCTGTTGGCAGCTGGTCAACATTGGAGCCAGGAGGAGGAGGAGGACTGACACCAGCTGGAACAGAGGAGATGTTGTCAGTTTGACTGAGGTTTAAATCTTACTGTTGACAGTTTGCTCTCTGGTTTCATGGCGGTTCCTGTAGCAGCCATGTAAGTTACTGATATCACAATCCTTCGCAGTTTAACAAAGATTTGAGAAAATATCAGCTCACTAACTTACCTTCATTGTCAGATTTCTGCTGAGACTGATGGACTGCTGATGTGGATCTGTCTGGTGCTCTGAAAATATATAATAATAAAAAGAATAAATCTTAACATTGTTCATTCAGTAAACCCACATGGAGCAGATTATTGTGTCAATGCAGAATCAGAACATTTGAATTATGGCGTTCCTTTTGTTACTCCTCCAACTACAGCACTGACCTATGCCCTGTATACAGCACTGACCTATGCCCTGTATCCATCCCGTCCTCTGTAACTTGTATTTTAATAAATGGACTCAATGAAATCTTTATTAATTGTCTTGGTAAGAAAATTGTATTCAAATTATTGACCTTCACTATAAAAGTGTGTGGACAAACACTGCACTACATCCCCTTAACTACTGATCCACCTGCTAGTGCTGAGTGAAAAAAGACAGTTTAATCAGTCACCCAGTCAACCATGTGTTATTGATTGTGCGATCTGAAACAGCTCAACTTTGGAAATGTTTTTTCTTACAGTAAAAGGTGAGGAAATGGACCACTCACTGTGTGCTTTAACCACTCTGTCAGTTACCAGCAGAGTATGTCTGCAATATCTGCTACTGTTTGAAATATCCCTGTAGTGAAACCAGTTATAAACTGCTGCAGGTTCAATTCAATTCAATTTTATTTGTATAGCGCCAATTCATAACAGAAGTTATCTCAGGACACTTTTCAAATAGAGCAGGTCTAGACCGAACTCTTTAACATTAATTACAGAGACCCAACAGTACCACCATGAGCAAGACCTTGGCGACAAGGGCAAGGAAAAACTGCCTGTTAAAAGGCAGAAACCTAGGACAGATCCTCCGGCTCTAGGTGGGTGGTCGTCTGTCTCGACCAGTTGGGGTGAGAGAGAGAGAGAGAGAGAGAGAGAGAGAGAGAGAGAGAGCGACAGACAGACAGACAGGTGCACAGCAACAACAGTATTGGCAATGGCAGTCAAGCAGGACCATGACAGGAGGCTCCACCAGGATCGATAAGAACCTGCGAGACGAGAAAGCACAAGAACTCCGGGGAAGAAGTGAAGTTAGTAACATGCATTAATGGAACGAATGAGTGCAGAAAGAGAGAGGAAGGGAGGAGCTCAGTGCACCATGGGAAATCCCCCAATAGTCTAGGCCTATAGCAGCATAACTAAGGGATGGTTCAGGACTCACCTGATCCAGCCCTGACTATAAGCTTTATCAAAGAGGAATGTCTTAAGCCTACTCTTAAATGCGGAGAGGGTGTCTGCCTCCTGAACCACAACTGGAAGCTGGTTCCACAGGAGAGGAGCTTGGTAACTGAAGGCTCTGGCTCCTGTTCTACTTTTAGAGACTATAGGAACCACAAGTAGCCCAGCATTCAGAGAACGTAGTGTTCTAGAGGGGTAATAGGGTACTATGAGCTCTTTAAGATATGAAAGGGCCTGACCATGAAGAGCTTTATAGGTGAGGAGGAGGATTTTAAATTCAATTCTACATTTTACAGGGAGCCAATGCAGAGAAGCTAGTACAGGAGAGATGTGATCTCTTTTTCTAGTTCCTGTCAGTACTCGTGCTGCAGCGTTCTGAATTAATTGGAGCGTTTTAATGGACTTATTGGGGCAACCTGATAATAAAGAGTTGCAGTAATCCAGCCTTGAAGTAACAAATGCATGGATTAGTTTTTCTGCATCTGTCTGTGATAGTATGTGTCTAATTTTTCTAATATTACGTAAATGAAAGAAGGCAGTCCTAGAGGTCTGCTTTATGTGGGAGTTAAATGACAAATCCTGATCAAAGATAACTCCAAGCTTCCTGACAGTGGTGCTAGAGGCCAAGTTAATGCCATCTAGAGTAACTATATCTTTAGACAATGAGTCTCTAAGGTTTTTGGGGCCAAGAACAAGAATTTCGGTTTTTTCTGAGTTTAACATCAGAAAATTGCAGGTCATCCAGGATTTTATGTCCATAAGACATGTTTGTAATTTAGATAATTGATTAATTTCATTGGGTTTGATTGATAGATATAACTGCGTATCATCTGCATAACAGTGAAAGTTAATGGAGTGATTCCTAATAATGTTGCCTAAAGGGAGCATATATAAAGTAAATAGTATTGGTCCAAGTACAGAACCTTGTGGAACTCCATGACTAACTGTAGTATTTATTGAAGATTCATCGTACTCAATCATTGAATCAAAGTTAGCTGAGGGTTACAAATAAGACTGCTCCAGTTGTAGTATTAATACACTGCTTCACTGAACACACTGATAGTATAGTCCCAGCAGTAGCAGTAAAAATAGTAGTAGTCGTTAAGGAATTAATAGTAGTCGGAGTCTGAATAAAATAATCCTTACAAATCCTGACTTGATACTCTAATAATGGCCATCAGTGATGGAAAAATGTGTAAATCAAATTCAAAATCAAAAGTCAAATCTAATCATCATTCAAAGACATAATTGAATCGTTATAGAGAACTGAGACTTATGTGACCTCCGTCAGAATAGATGTCAACACTACAACATTTAACATCAGATGAAGTTGACATAATATTGTTTTTCATTTCACAGTCACAGTAGGCAGCCGTTTGGTTTTACAAACAGTTTTCTTAATGCCAATCGAAATACAACAACAACAAAGTTGAGCTGTCATAGTTTGGACACAACTGATAGAAACATTATGTAATGAATCTATCAAAAAATAGAAAGCTTACCAGTGCTTGAGCAGCATTCTTATGCCTGAATAAATGTTTTTGTAAAAATCCGAAGGAGTAAACAAAAATCTGGATCACAACTTTAAGGTGACAAGATTTTCATATATCGAGATAACGAGATAATAAGTCGGTATCACAAGATAACTGCATAAAAATAAAAAAACATCCATGGCCGTTCTCGGCTTCCATAAATCAGTGGGTTAATAAATAATAATTTTAAGTTTGATGAGACAAGACTTCGACAAAAAGTTGTGCTAAACTTTTTTGCTAATTGAGTAATTTCAGATAAGAGTGACATTAACTCAACAATATTGCACACAGTTAACGGGACATGTCTCCTGGTTGGATGCTTACCTGTCTGAACTCACCTGCAGCTCAAACTCAAGAGACTTTGTGGCTTCACCGTCAGAGGAAACAAACTGCTGCTTCTCCTTCAGTCTGTCACAATCTCACAACTTCACTGCTTATATCTACAGAAACCCTGTGATGTCACACCAGCCTGACTTCTTGGGAATTCCCCTTTTAATAAACATACAGATACAAGGAACTCTGTAAGTGTGTACCTAGTTTAAAACAAATATTATAAAAGCTATAATATTTGAAGTTAGCCTTTGTTTATCTTTCACTCGTCTTTCTGTTTTTGGTGACATGAAACTGAGTTTGTTTTTCTGCCAGTGGAACATAATGAGTGTGAATTTAATTCAATTCACTTTTATTTATAGCACCAATTCATAACAGAAGTTATCTCAGGACACTTTTCAAATGGAGCAGGTCTAGACCGAACTCTTTATAACATTATTTACAGAGACCCAACAGTACCACCATGAGCAAGCACTTGCAGTTTACATCCACGTCTGTCCAGACTCAGATATTACAGGAAATGAAGACTGAAGGATTTTAATAAAAGCTATTAAATGTGTGTTTTAGAATTATATTGATGTATGATTCCAGTGAGAAACATACTGACTTCAGTTAGAGACACTTTGACATTACACTGAATCATTTTATTTAAGAATTTTAATTAGACCCACCATGAGCTCTGTAAAGTCTCTAACCACCTTGTATACTATTTGGAGATCATTTGAAAGATCAAAGATCATATGGAGATATGTTGGTTTTTAATGTTTCTCTATGAATCCGTATCAGACTGTTGGTGTTATGATGTACTCACTCTTCCTTTTAGTTTCCTTCCGTCTCCTGTTAGCTTTGTAGCAGTGTTTAGTTCAGGACAAATGTATCATTCTTATTGGTAGATTGAGACATGTGACCTGATGTGACACCTTCAACCAGAGCAGCGATCCAATCAGCTAGAATACCTGAAAACACTGTGTGGGTTTTCACAGGCTCAACACATACCACACAAAGGGGTTTAGTATGTGTTTGAAGAGGAGCAGGAACTAGTTCAGGTGTTTAAGTGAAAACAAACAGTGTATGAAAATAATATTTAGCTGTGTTGACTCATATTTTTTTCCCTCCCATCTTCTTGTTGAATATAATTTTCCTTCACATTGAACTTGTATTGAAATAAATAAACAAAAACATAATGGTCACACCTTTATCTCAATATTTGATGTTCCATCTGCCAGTTGTCGAGTTCAGGATGTCTGGCTGTAGTGCCGGGTAAATGTACTGCCCTGGTGTAACCCCAAGCCCAATGAGAGAGAGACAGAGCACAGGTAGAGACAGAGGACAGGTAGAGACAGGGGTCAGGTAGAGATAGAGGACAGGTAGAGACAGAGGTCAGGTAAAGACAGGGGTCAGGTAGAGATAGAGGACAGGTAGAGACAGAGGACAGGTAAAGACAGGACAGAGGTCAGGTAGACAGAGGACAGGTAGAGACAGAGGACAGGTAGAGACAGAGGACACGTAGAGACAGAGGTCAGGTAGAGACAGAGGTCAGGTAGACAGAGGACAGGTAGACAGAGGACAGGTAGAGACAGAGGTCAGGTAGAGACAGAGGACAGGTAGAGACAGAGGTCAGGTAGAGACAGAGGACAGGTAGAGAGAGGAACTGTCATATTTACTTTGGGAAATGTCCAAATGCTCCTGTAATGGCCTGAGACAACCAGAGGAACCTGAGAAACACAACTCTCTACGGATTTCTTTTTAATTGTTCATATTAAATTAAATTATAATGTTAATATATTTTAATAATTTTTTGTTATTGCTGTTGTTTATATAGTTTGTAAATCTGTAAATAATTGAGTGATTATAAAAAAACTTTATGTATTAATGTGTTTTATCCAACAAAACATATAAAGTCTCCATGTGGCTGTTGTCATCTTCATCATCATCATCATCATCAGTCACTGTTAGTGTAGTTGTTGCTACTGTGCACCTTTGTCTCTCTCTCTCTCTCTCTCTCTCTGTCTCTCTCTCTCTCTCCCACACACCTAGAGCCGGAGGATCTGTCCTAGGTTTCTGCCTTTTAACAGGCAGTGTTTCCTTGCCCTTGTCTCCAAGGTCTTGCTCATGGTGGTACTGTTGGGTCTCTGTAATTAATGTTAAAGAGTTCGGTCTAGACCTGCTCTATTTGAAAAGTGTCCTGAGATAACTTCTGTTATGAATCGGTGCTAAACAAATAAAACTGAAGTAGTGGAGAATACATCCTGAACAAAAGCACAAAACATTAGTTGAATTTTAAAACCAACCAACCAGAGAATGAATAAACACACATACACGTATAATTATAAGTGATATTTTTAGTAAGAAAAAAAGGAGTCAATGTTGTTTTGCAGCAACTTTATATTCTATTTTCATTAGAAACAGACACAGAACATGTTCTGTTACATTCTTAATAATTTCTTTCACACATACAGGAGTGCAACTTACACGTTTTTGAATAAAATAAAATAAAGTTGTGATGTGAAAACATCCGATCTCTTCTCTCCGCTTCTAAAACAATTCCTTTTGTGGTTTGTGGTCATTTTAAGACTCAGATTATAAAGTTTTCAGCCTGCCATGCTGTCACTCTGTGTACAATGATGCAGCTGGAACACAACAGTGCAGAGATTCAAAAGATATTTTAAGGTTGGCTGGTTGACACTGAACTCAATTTCTGGCTCAACTGTATGAAGAAGCTGAAGGAGCATGAAGAGTTGGAAAAGGTCTGGCATGGATGGGATTTGAAGTTGAATACATTTTATAATGTATGAACTTTTAAATGTAAAGACGAGTATTGTATTTATACTGACCTAATGCAGACAGTTTCCTTTAAAAGAATCTGTTCCACTTCTATGTTCTAGTGGTGGACTGTAACTGTGCTGTAAAGGTTTGAAGTATCGTTACTTTGCTTGTTATTTCTATTTTCTGCTACTTTATACTTCTACTGCACTCAGAGGGAAATCTTATACTTTTTAACTACATTACACTTTAGCTGCTTTGCTTATTCAGATTAATTATAAACATATATCAACTAATAAATGATGTATTATTATAGATGAAACTACCCAAAAGTATAAAACCTTAAACTCCACCTCAATAATTATAATCCAATAATTGTGAACAATCATGAACTATTCTGTATATTGAGGTACTTTAGGAACAGTTGGATGTTAATACTTTGAATGCAGGACGCTGTAACAGAGTATTTTTACAGTGTGATATTTCTTTTTGTAGTTAATGATCCAGACAAAATATTCTGCTGAGAACACATACGTCACCTGGAGGCTCTGATAGTATCGAGTCTTATGGAGAAGTTGATTAATGAGTTTCTGGTCTCAGTCTCTAGTTTCAGTCTTCTTCCATACAGCATGATGTTCATTCAGTAACTGATGTCACACTGTACAACCACAGGTGTTAATCAGTGACCTTTGGACAGAGCCAGGGTAGCTGTTCCCTGTTTACAATCTTTATGCTAAGCTAGGCTATTAGCTGTTCATCAATCAATCAATCAATCAATGTGAACGTGTGTCAGCGTGAGGAAGAGAAAAAAGATTTTAAATTCCTGGATTATATTTGCACACTGGATTACCAGAAATGGTTAATAAATTACTCCTATTTGATATTTGTTAGCGGGTCTTCTGTTGTACCCGTAGTGGCGTGTTGAGTCCCGTCAGGTTTTTAAAATGTTGACATCGACTTGGTTCCGAAGTATCGGTACTCGTGGGACTGGACAGATTTGATACCTGCACTCATGCTGCTGTCACGGTGGTACCTTTTCCCTCCAGCTCTCACCAGGTGTGCTGATTGCTAAATGCTGAAGCTTTTAGTGTGGGGACTGTTACTGCCTCTCGGCTTTGTGTCTTTTCATAGTCCTGATTTGGTGGTTGTCTTTACGTTCATGAATCAGTTGCTTAAAGGTGTCTTTCTGTGGTTGATTTGGGTCAGTGGTGGAGTGTTGTTCGCCTCTAAGGTGGGAGGTAACAAATGTGGGCTTGTTCGGGACAGAACGTCCGTGAGGTGAGGTATAGGTGTTACCAGGTTTTAGAGTGCAGTGATCATCTCTTTGGTTAAACCATTTCTGGTTGTTGCTGCTTTTAGCTTTAGTTGTGTTTTTGACTGGAGCCCCCTGACCAGCTACCCACCCGGCAGGATTGAAGTGCACCACCTTCGGTGATAATCCTGACTGGGGGCGCACTTGTTTGTATGTCTTTATATCAATAAATCGGTTGTTTTAAAGGTGTCTTTCTGTGGTTGGAGTGTGTAGAGCTGCCTAAATAAATGGGGGCTCGTCCAGGACACAACGTCCCTGACATGAGGTATATGAGTTTTTAAGTGTAGTGTCTTTATGGTAATAAAGTATTTAGTTGTTTTAAAGGTGTCTTTCTGTGGTTGTTTGGGGTCAGGGGTTGAGTGCTGTTCGCCCTGTAGCGCCGCCTAAAGGTGGGACATAACACTGCATTGACCCTGCGTGTGTTTGAGTGTTTAAATAAAAGAAACAAGAGGAGGTAATGGGAGGGGGTCACATAGTGTGCCTCCTTTAAATGTCAGTGTTTATCTGCTGTTTGTCCCCACAGAGCGAATGACCTCCAGGCTGAAATAGCCTGAACACACACACACACACACACACACACACAGTATTGGTGGATAAGAGGGGTGTAACCAGTGACGGGGGGGGGGCGTGTAACCTGTCGATCGTCCTGAGGTCAAAGTATTGAAACCACACTGTACAAATACTCTGTTACTGCAGTAAAAGTATTAAAGTGTATTTAGTGTTTTGTTTCTTTGTAATAAATCACATTTAGTCCAAAGCTCCAAATTATTCCAAATACAAACTGTAAAAAACAAAGTGTTATTTTTAAGGCAAACGGATATTAGTGCTGTTACTTTTAGGGTTAATGTTGGTGTTTTATTCCATATTTTACCGTATAAATACAAGTTTTACCATAAAAACCTGTTTTGCCATAGAATTAACATGAAAATACCAAATGAGATCTGACGGTTGTTTACTGTGCAGTTAAAAATCTGTAATATAAGAACATGCAGTGTAAATAAAGCCATCAGATATTATGGTAAAAGGACATTAGTGCTGTTAATTTTAGGGTTAATGTTGGTGTTTTATTCCATGTTTTACAGTCATATTTAAGCTTTTATTACAATCATTCAAAGGAAAAGCAGGAAATCTTAATAGACTGATCAGCTGTATTTGTATAAACTGTTGGGTAGTTTAATTTATAACAAACATCATATTTTATAAACTCTTTGTATGTTTTGTGTGTAAAAATATAAATTTGTAACTAAATCTGTCAGATAAACGCAGTTACAATATTAGATGGAGGAGAAGAGGAAATGTACTGCAGATATAATTTATAGAGTCATTCCAGACTGGGAAGTTATATTTATATTTTTCACGCAGAGAATAATTTAATTTAAACGGGATTCACAGGGTTGAACATATTTAAACTGATATTATAGCTGCTTTAAATAAAACCTGATCTTCTGTGTGACTCATTCTTCTACAATCCTCATTCAGCTCAGAGGGGATTTATGTTTACTCACATTAAACTATGATCTGTGTGATCAGTGAATAAGTGAGTGAATACAGGCTCTCTGAAGTGATGTCTGATAATGTGTTCGACTCGAGCGGCTTTTTGTAAATAAGAGTGAAACCGAATAAACACGTAAACACGTCAAAACCTTCAGAGAATCACAAATAACAGGAAGACAGGACGTTCCTGTGACGCTGATACCTGCTGACGACTCGAGTGACGGAGTGATTTCACTGTTCTACAGAGACTCTACAGTGAAGAGCAGCTGTAATAATAACAAACAGTAAAGAAAGTGGAGTGAAGCTTTGTGTTGACGCTGCCGCAGTCGTCATGGTAACAGTGACATCAGATCGATATCTGCTCTTTAAAACCACCTGATCGTGTTTTAATTCATCCATTAACAAACCCTTTAACACACATTCATTGTTAAAGCCCTTAAAGCTTCCAGATGTCAGATTATTGATCAGTGTACTGATCAGTGAACAGGTTGTAGTGGAGCTTTGTCCCTCTGCTGCCTGTGGACTGATCTCTATGTGTCTCTATGTAGGATGAGGGTCAAAGGTTGTGACCTTTATGCTCCCGAGTGCCAACAGTGGGCAACACAGAGTCCACAACACAGAGTCCAACACAGAGTCCAACACAGAGTCCAACACAGAGTCCACAACACAGAGTCCAACACAGAGTCCAACACAGAGTCCAACACAGAGTCCACAACACAGAGTCCAACACAGAGTCCACAACACAGAGTCCACAACACAGAGTCCAACACAGAGTCCAACACAGAGTCCAACACAGAGTCCACAACACAGAGTCCAACACAGAGTCCACAACACAGAGTCCAACACAGAGTCCAACACAGAGTCCAACACAGAGTCCACAACACAGAGTCCACAACACAGAGTCCACAACATAGAGTCCACAACACAGAGTCCACAACACAGAGTCCACAACACAGAGTCCAACACAGAGTCCACAACACAGAGTCCAACACAGAGTCCACAACACAGAGTCCAACACAGAGTCCAACACAGAGTCCACAACACAGAGTCCAACACAGAGTCCACAACACAGAGTCCACAACACAGAGTCCACAACACAGAGTCCA